TTGTGGCATAAAGGCGTCGCTGCCCCTGGCAGGGGATTGGGACTGGATGGTCTTTAAGGTCCCTTCCAATCCAGTCCATTCTATGATTCAATGAAGTACACAAGCCTCCAACTTTGATGGGATTTAGCTGTGTTCACAGCTCCGCATATTGGTGGATGCTTTCCTGAAGATGACTGCTTACAAAATCAATGCTGAGTCTTATAAAATGTTACTGATGAGAAGGGGGGTGGGGTGTGATAAAATTGCAGGAAACGTGCTAAGTTTTGGGGGGGTGCTGTTTTTGAGATGTGTGTTTTAACACATGAGATACTGGAACAGTCTGCAGGCTGCTTGGCATACCCTGTATTTGATGGCTGCCATTACATCTCACGTCTGGGTGAGGGCAAGAGTCACTCCTGTGCAGAAGCCAAGCACAAGTAACGTACTGATAAATGACCTGCTGCAACTCCTGTTGTCTGGGCAAAATGTACTTCCAGGCATGTACTCACCAAGCAAGTCCCAGGCCCCTCACTACAGCCAGCTCCTCCCCTATCAGCCGCACACATGCCTTTTGTCCTTCACCCTCCTAAACAAGCTATCTGTCCAACTTAAATCAAGTCACTGGACCCACCAGGCTTTGGAGGACAGTCGATCTGGGCAGCTTGAGCCTCGACATGGTCTCCATTGGGGGGGCTCTTCACACTTTCACTGGAGACCATGGACATTGTTAATCCATCATCCTTCTCCTCGTCTGTAAAACCAAAACCAAAGACTTGAAACAAAGAGGTCCCCCATATCCCCGCAGCCTCCGCACATCCATTGTGAGGCCAGACCACCAACACATGCTTGCATCTCCTCCTCCTGCAGCACTGGCTCCATTCCCAGAGCAGACAGGCACTGTGTACAGTGGCCTGATGGCAACTTGTCAGAGACCAGCTTGGTCATGCTGGCAGCATCACAGCTTGAGGTGACCTCACTGGGTACGGGCAGATTGCAGTCAGGGACTGGTGCTGACAAAGGATTGCCATCAGAAGCCTTCAGGTCATTTCAGGATTAGATCTAAATGAGGCTCAATTTTCTTGCCCATAGAAGAGGTTCTGTTGTTTCTTTCTTTCCAGGAGCACATGGTGGCAAGCGTGAAGTGAAAAAAAGGAAAAGCAAGGTTTAATTCCAGACCCTGCTGGTCACAACAGTTGCCCATCAGCAAGCAGCTTTCTGCTCCACCAGGACAAGGGAGGACTGGCTAGAAGACAAGTAGTGACCCAGCTGAGACCAGTTTATGCTGAGGCTATTTTAACCTCAGCCTACACAAACACAGTCCTCTGTGAGACTCATCCCAGGGGCAACAGTGTTCTCCACTCACCTGAAGGCACTGGGATGAACTTGTGTTTCCTCTTCATGCAGCAACATATGACTGAGGACACGAGCACCACCAGGATAACTGCACCCCCTGCACACCCTGCAAGGATGTAGATGAACCACGGGTACTGCAGCAGGTCTCCTACAAGAAGAACATGACATTGTTAGTTACCAGGGTGGACAAGCTACTTCCTCCTGCTTGGAGAAACCCTGCAGCCAGATTAGAGCATGTGGACATTACTGTCGCTTTGGTTTCGGTGAGGGGAGCTGATCCTGTGAACTGTGGCACATCTTGACTTATGTCACATTATTTAATGATAGTCTGGGATTGTTTGTTAAGAGACTTGCTTGACTAAGCTATGCGCATTTGTTTCTGCCTACTCTGACCAGTAACATCTAAGACAATTCACAAGTTTTAAACAAATGTAACAAGAAGGGTGGTGGTTTGAAAGATACTACATTTCAACAAGGTTTCTGAAAACTGGCAGCTGAGAAAAGGAGGGATACCTAAGCTACCATCTCCTGCTGATAAGAAAAGCTGCAGAGTCTACCCTCAGAGCTTGTGCCAGGGCCCAGAGAATCCACTTATGACAACCACGTAAGGACTACACCAACCTCAAAGCAAGTCTGATCAGAGATCACTTCCTCAGGTACCAGAGACTTCAGCCACCCGAGTCAGAGCTGTAGTAAACCAGCTTCACTGCTGCCGGGGGAAGGATTTCTCTTTATTCTCCTTCCCAACCGAGATCATTCGAAATGCCTAGCAGGCGGCGAACGCTACAGATGGCTGAGCAGAAGGCCACACACAAGTCAGTGGTAATTACTGCCCAGCTCAGAGTCCCTTGCTCAGGGTTGCTTTGATGGGTCAGGTTTGCACATACGTTGCTGCTGAACAAGGAAGCTGGTAGAGGGCATCACAGACTTGCAGAAGAGAGACTCATCCAGACTGGCTCCTTCCCTGAGACAATTTATTCCAACTCGGGGCAGCCAGAAGGAAAACTCTTCTTCCCGCATGGAAAAAGTAAAAACAACCCCAACTCGACAACAGCTCAACTATCACCATAATGCAGATTCCTTAAAACTTCTTAGGTGAGCCTACACAATCTGGTTTTGAATCATTTGGCTTCTTTTTGGCTGCACACACACCTGCACAGCACCATGCTGCACAAACAAACAGGCTCACATGGAGCTAGTTTTTGAGACCCCATATGCACAAATTGCTGCATATCCCCAGAGGCTGGGAAGCATTTCAAATGTTCCTGGACATACTACACACTGTTATAGTCCACGCACTCACCAGAAGAGTAAAAACAAGGTTACAGTTCCTCCTGTGTGTGAAATCACACATACTCAGTATTTTCGGAGTGCTCATTCCAGTCTCTTCAGGAACAGATACCAAGTTCAAAAAAAAAATAAATCTATACTCAAAATTAAGCTTTCAGCAAATGAGAAATAATTTCCCTCATAATTTCATTTCTTTTTTGATAAAAACTTACAGAATATTGTGAGAAATATATGCTGGGGTTTTTTTTCCCCCGTATGTTTTTCCTAAAAATCTACCATTTCTTACAAAAGTCTTTTTGAGATAAAATATTATGTTAAAAAGCTATAATAAACAAGTAATAAAAAAAGTAATGAATCAATAAAAGCCTTTCATATATGATGACTTGTTAACTTCTGAAACCTCTGCTTTAGATCCTGTGTGATCAGAGTCCTTTTGGTGCCTGGTCAATTTACAGTATTTCTGCCAAATTGTTTTAAGCTAACTATATTCTAAATCAATTTCAACAGCCAAGAGGTTGCCTAAATAACTGGGTTTATGTGCATTTTATACCTACAGTGGAAAACCATATTCCAGCCCTTTCCCTGGAGCAAATAATAACCAACAAAAATAATGAGTTAACATTTAACTGAACTCATTCTCTCTTCAAGTCACTTTACAAGTATTCAGAATTGCTTTCCTTCACTTTTTACAAATGCGGTTGCATCTATTGACTAAAAACCAGAATCTCTGCTACATTCTTGCTGTCAGATCCTTCCAAATCTGTGTTCATGCACGTGTCCATCCCAACAGACCTATCACTACTTTCCCCTGTGGGCTTTTCAAAAGGAAATGGGGAACTGATATCACACTCCGGGGACTGGGCAGCCACCCAGAACAAACAATGGTAACTGCCAGCACTCGTGTGTTTTATCACAGGGCTTGACTGAGCAGCTCGTGGATGTTCACATCCTCATTCCCCAGTGCCGCAGCCCACCTGGGTCTGACCACACTGAACAACCTCTGACCAATTTAACCAGACAAAACGAAGATCATTTTCCACAATCACAAGTGCCAAACCTGCACAGACTGGCCAGCGGTGCCAAGGTGACCAGGCTTGAAGAGTCTGCGGCATTTCCACTGAACGCCAGTACACATGAAACAGGGCTTATGTCAGTAATTTTGCTTTCACACCAATTGTATGCCAACCATAGAAAAAAAGAGGGACAGTATCTGCTTTGGAGCTGGAATGCCTCCATTTCTAAAATGCTAAGTGCTGTTGCACAGTACAATTTCTTTAATAGCAAAGGTGAATACATTAATTACATCTAAATAAGTCAAAACCTTATAGATAAATAATTAAGCCATTTGATGTCATTTTGTTGATCATCTGCACCACCAGAGAGGAGAAAAACCTTCACTCCTGGACTGCACACCCAAGGTTATCTAATAATTTTGCTTGTTTGTTTAAGCGTGAGCTTACAACACATGTATCATGCAGTTCTGGCAGTTTTGGTCAGTCCTAGGATCTTGATTTTCTGTCCCATTAAATCATGGCCTCATTCCAGCAGAATACTCAGCATATATGGATAGCTTGCCAATGGATGAAGTCATAGCCTTATCACAGAACTACATATCTGAGCAAGGACATGGAGAGAAAATCCCCTGCATTTCAAAACTAAGTGAATTGTGTCTTTACCACACACCTCTGATGGTGTAGGGCTGATGGCGAGACATTTGTATAGACTGGCAAATCTTTGTGCAGCTGGTCTAAATAAGGAGAAAAGAGACAAGGCAGAAAACCTCTGCTTGAGTCCAGCAGCAACAGGGCTGAACTAGTGGACTTGTTTTTACAGGGATGTTGCAGAAACTGGAAAGCTGTCAGGGTAATGGATGAATGTCAAGTAGAAAGCAGCTCATGTTTCTAAACTGGCACAGAGGAATGGTACACAGGAGGGTGCAAGGTCTCCATCAGTGGGAAGTAGGAAAACAGACGGCGATCCATCCTTGCTGTAGAGTTGGGTAAAAGGACCTCCCAAACAAACTCATCCTCTCTGTAGTTGTAGGCTGTGTCAGTCCAAGGCACAGGAGGGAGGAGGAAGTCAAGGGGACATTTCCTAAAAGGGAGGATGTGGCAAGTCTGGAAGGCAGCTGCCAGATGACAGAAGAGATCGGTATTATTCTGGCAGCAACTCCTTAGTTTTCTGCTGCAAAAGACCAAAAGGGGGGAGGTTCTGGAGACACCATTACTCACCATAGCTGCAGGAGAGCAAAACAGGCCTGGTCCTGGTGATGCTGTTCCCGTGGTAAACCTCACATACAAACTCCCCAGGCACGGTTTTGTCCAGGCGAACCTTCTTCCCACCATCCTTAACACAAGCCTCAGGGGCACTCAGAGCGGTGCCATTCAGCAGCCACTGAAAGCTGGTGCTGTCGTTGCTGTTCACGTCACAGGACAACTCCCCAGTCCCATTAGGAAAGCACTGGATACCAATGGCTGGCTCTGGTCACACACAGCACAGGGCAATGGGAACAGGAAGGAAAAAAGGAGGTGAGGAGCCAGCTCAGCAGTGAACATGAACTGGACAGGAGCTTCCCTTACTGGCAGTCTTACTACCACCACATTTACTGGTAGCCAGGGAGCACAGAAGTAAGTAACCAGACTCCCAAGTGCCTGCCCCAGCCCTGAAATGCTTAAGCAGTGCCCACCCATCCCTGCTGGTGACTCCTGGTACCTATTTTGGGGATGCCATGAAAATCTGGAGTCTCTTCATTTTCCTTACTGAAATTGAAAACATGATACGTAAAAGCCCCTGATCTGAGAGGATGGTGGAAACACCCAAAGCATCTGCCAGCCAGAGGCTTCCTCTGTAATCAGCAGGTATCCAGCTATGGAGGAGACTCAGCCCTCTCCTCCCCCAGAGGTTTGTACTTTTGCTGTCACTGCGCCTCTTCTTCCATTTTAGAGAGCAACTAGTACAAATCATGTCCAACATAGGTACTAGGCACCTGCAGTTAGATAGGATGACCCAGACTCAGACAATTTGAAATGAAGTTATGAATCATTGATCTTATTACATTTTCCTTTCAGTCTACTACAAGGAGCCAACCTATTTCCTAAATTTGTCACTTTGCAGATACAAACTAGACAGAAATAGTATGGTTTTATGACAGTAAGAGTAACATTGAGAATGTTGATGTAAACATCCATGTAAATAAGCTCAGAAATCACTTTGTTCAACTAGGACATTATCTTCAGCTAAAATACACTGCCCTCAGGACTACCTTTGCTGTGAAATCATTTCCTTGGCTTAGGTGTGGCAACAGACCAGAAGGAAGAGACAAAAGTTCCCAAATTCACTGAAATGAAGGTTAAATCCAGGATGCTTCTGCAGTCTTTGCCTACTTCCAGTCTAAGCCCCTGGTCTTTGTACCAAGGAGTCACATCTTTGACCTACTCTCCACGGCAGTTCCGCCTGTTTGCGCCCAGAAGGTTTAAAGATTCATTTGTCTTCACTGAGACTAGTTTGCTCAGACATTTTCATTACAATTTCATACGCTTCAATTTCCCTTAGAAGCTTTTTTAAGTGAAAGCCCTGCAAAAGGAATGGTGGAGATGAGGACCAGGTCGCTGGCTTTCTGGAGTGCTATTCAGTAGGGGGCAAACCCATTTAGGCCTTCTCCATATTAATACAAGCAATGAGCTGGATCCAGTACAGAAGTGATTTTGCTTCTGTCTTCTCACCCCACAGATGGATGAGCAGGCACACAAAGGGGAGCAGCAATTCTGAGGCCATGGGGAGGACAGAAGGGAGACTGGCATGGCAAGGTACCTACAGCTGGTCTCTGAACAGATCCAGAAGATACTGACCTCCGCACTACTCAGGGGCACCTAAAAATCAGAAAGTCATACCCAGATTTGTTTAGCACCTTTTCTCAGCTGCATGAAGGATGGGAATAACCCAGCAGCCTCAACCCAGACCCGCACAAGATCAGTTCAGTTTACGGAGCCAATCCAGTAGAGTTAACTCCTTAAGGAAGTATGTGTACAGGCAGCAAAAATGCTGTTGGGTCAGTGAGAGCTTTTGTGAGAGCCATCAGGAAGTGCACTCTGGAAATGGACTGAAATCTCCAGCTACAGCTCTACATTCTGTAGGCTCAACTTTGCAAACAATTTGTGCCGCTGTCTCTTACAGCAGGAAGCCCAGCACATAGCCCAACTGACCAGCTACGTCAAGGCTCAACGGACAGGAGAGACTGATAAAGCAGATGCAACAAGCATCCCTTAGTTTGCACTCACCATTACTGCTCCCTGAGGTGTCAGAAACTTACAAAGCTGTTCCAGAGGCACCTATAGCTCCTGAAAGCTGAAGCGGTCTCTTAGGAAGAATTTCAAGGCACCAGCTTCCAAGACAGCCTCACATGCTCAAAAGCTATTTTTTGCCAAGTAGTCTACTTACCAAATACCTGCAGCGTAAAAACTCTGGTTGTGTTGTGAAAAACAAACTCATATTTTCCTTCATCCTCTTTCTCCACTGTCTTCAGCACTAGGGAGCCATTCTGCAAGTTCAGGCATCTGCGGGCAGAAGTGCCACACTCTGCCAACAAAGTATCGCTCAAGACAGTTGTCAAGCATTTCATGTCCCTCTTGCTCATACTGGAGAGGTTCTGCAGGCTCTGAATTCCCACAGAGAAGACTGCCGAGCCACCGCTGAGCACACCAGTCCAGGTGACAGAGCCTAAAGGAGAGACGCAGAGTGCGGGCAGCAAACTTGCTGTGTCCATCCATCCCCTCCCAGACAGCCAAATGCACAGGTGAGACGTAAGAAGCACAGACCCACCCCTAGTGACAGGCTGTAACTGAAAATCAGAGGAGTGGGAAGCCTTCCATAAGGGCCAACTTTCCCCCCTGTGACACGGGAGTGGTGCGCACGCCACGCACACAGGGTGACAAAAAGCTGAGCACTTCATCTTTTCTCTCCTCAGATTTGACACAACCATCTCCCACCCCACCCTCAGAGCTGAGAGGCTGTGCAGGCAGATGCTCAGGGCATCGATGCCATGGATCTTGTACAGAGGATAGCAAAACCAACTGCTGCCTGCACAGCTACTTTTACACAAAGAGTAAGGTGGCAGCTTTAACAAGTCTCGCAGTACTCCTGCACGCTATGAAGTTGCTGTACACAAATCAGAGGTGGGTAAATGGCAGGGCAGCAGCAGCTCGGGGACTAACCCAAGGTCACACCAAGCGTTAGGAGTGGGACCACATTGTCCCTAGCCCCTCCAGCCAGCGTTCTGCTTACAAGGACCTTACAGTCTCCTCTGAAATGCTTTGACAGACGCAGTACACTGCAAAAGTACTCTATTGTTAATTATCATTTGTTTACTAAAAATCCAATCTATCTTACTTTGGTCTGACTGCCCCTTTCATGCATTAGCAGTTACGCTATTTGACGTCTCCCCAAACCTGGTAGTCGTTAAAAGATCTTGGAGCAAAATTAAGGTGTCTGCCAATCTAGGCAATCTGTGCCAACTTCATAAAGAAAAATCCCACTTACCATGAGTAACAGTTATTATCACCAGCAAGCACTGCAGAGTAAAAGGAGAGCTGAAATCCATTTTAAAGAGCTCCTTGCACCATATGCTGAGAAGACGATCGGGCTACAGAGCTCAGTGAATATAGCATTCAGGAAATGATGTCAGAAGCAAGAGAAGGAAAAAAAAAGAAAAAAGAAACTCCATAGTGGACAGATTGAATAATGTTTCAAAATAGACCTGCAAGGTTTTGGGTGACTGAACTCAGGCTGAACCAACGTGAGCCACAGTGTGCTCTGCAAAGTCCTGTACCTTGGTGCTAGCTGCAAGTGTGAGAATAGGACTGAGAGGTAAGGAGAGGCAAAAATATCTCCTGGTCAGCTCACTCAATTTAGGAAGATGCCAACACCAAGAGCAAGCAAAGGCAAAAGGCTTATTTCTTTAATCCTTTTCTAGTCTACTGAAATACAGCATCCTCACCCAGGGAGAAAAATCAGTCCAGTCAGATAAAGCACTGCACATGCAGACCAGCTGAAATACCAACAATGATCACTCACAGAGAGTTTTACCAGCAGCACAGGTAGGAGAAGGCTTTCCCTCTGTATGCAAATGTACATTGCCAGCCTGAACTTTGCTGGGCTCTTCTAGTGACTGAATAGTGCCTGCCATGCAGGAGAGGGCTCCATACAGCCGCCCCAGGCAAAGAATAAAGTTTATGGGAAGTTGCATTGCAAAGCTGGACAGAGTGCACCCAAAAGCCACCCTGGCTCTGTTTGGAGTGCAGAGCCTAGAGATGAGACCAAACAGCCAGTCTTTAAGACCCACAGTGAACCAGTTATCTACAGGGCCATACAGGGCCAGACACTTTGTTCGCATTTGTTGAGATGGCTTAAAGCACACTGGCATTTTGCACCGAGTGCCAAGGTTGATTACACAAGCAACACACCAGAAACCATCCCACTCACTGGAGGAAGTAAACTGACATAGCATTAGAGCCAACATCTGGGTATTTTAGATGCACTTAGCAGATGTGCTGGGGAACAACTGTTCAGGATGCAGCTGGCAATCTTACGCTTTTGTGCTCTTTCTCTGGACACAGACATAAATCCAACCTGTTAAGGAAGCTCCATACTATGGAATTACATGTATAAACATTCCTGAGAAATGGTTAAATCCCTTGTGTTGTGGTCCACACTATTTTTCAAACAATTTGGCTCTGCTTGATAATTCCACATTTCAACCACTGGTTTGGCCCCTCTGACTTCTAAGCAACGACAATTACATCTCATCTCCTGCACCCAGTGTCCAAAATTTACAGGTTTGTTCAAGGCTACCACAGCATCATCCTGTCTTTATCATACGTGCATAGGACAGGTCTAAATTGATCTAAGATGTGCCAGAAATAGCCTTCTCTGAGAAAAGCAGTGAAGCGAGTCTTCAGACGCAGCAGTGTAGAGGAAGGGGTAGAGAGAAGAGTATTTACAGTAAGTAAGAAACACTTTCATTTCCTTCTGTGCTGCTCAAATGACATGAAGAAACTCTCTCTCAAATACCCCTGCAAGACTAGGGCTAACCACCTGCCTTGGATGTGCACATTCAACTTCACTTCACCTTCACGCGTGAAGGGCAAGCTGGTAGAGCTTAGGGTTGCAGCACTGTGGTGGAGGCACAAGACAGAACAGACAGCATGTGCAGGGTCACTTCAAAACAGCACCCCAACATGTTCAGAATCACAGAAAAACAACTAAATGGAAGAAGGGTCTGCATACAGCCACATCCAGCAAAAGTTCACTTCTCCTCCAGCCAATGACAGCAGCATCACAGAGCTCATTTACAGATTTGCAGTGAAATCTAAGGACAATATGGCCTTCCTACTGTAGCTCTGTTGTTCCAGAAGTGACTGCATGACTGTGACATTGCGGTGTCCTGTATTTAGTCTCCCTCCCAGTGACTCCAGGGCAAATGAGTACATTTATGAGTTCAATATTTCTTGACTGCAAGTGCCCCATACATCACACGGTATGTGAAGTCCCATTAGGTTCTTTCTGTCCCTCACATCCTCACTAGCTAAGAAAAAAAATCACAGCCAGGATGAAGATGACAGCACATGCGCAGCCTGTGTTGCCATCCATCAGCAGCCTCCCCTTGAGAGCAACCCTCTCAGATTACATGTTTAATGAATTTCTTTGATGAGATTACACACTAATTTCTAACACTGGCTAATACTCACAACACCCTTGGTTAGCTAGAAAATTCACTTCCCTCTTTTATATAAAGACACAAAGTTTTGTGTGATTGCTGCAGATAGATAGAAAACACCTCGTGAGGCTTAACAGAAACTACAAGTAGAAGGGGGTTGAAATAAGGGCATGGTCGAGGGAGGTGATCCTGCCCCTCTACTCTGCTCTCATGAGACCCCACCTGCAGTCCTGCATCCAGCTCAGGAGTCCCCAACACAAGAGGGATGTGTTGCTGCTCAAGTGGGTCCAGAGGAGGGCCACAAAGCTAGAGAACTTCTCTCTGGATACAGGCTGAGAGAGTTGGGGTTGTTCAGCCTGAAGAAGAGACTTCATAGCAGCCTTCCAGTACCTAAAGGGAGGCTACAAGAAATCTGGAGAGGGACTTTTTACAAAGGCATGTAGTGACAGAACAATGGAGAATGGCTTTAAACTGGAAGAAGGTAGATTTAGATTAGATATTAGGAAGAAATTTTTCCCTGTGAGGGTGCCCAGAGAAGCTGTGGCTGCCCCATCCCTGGCAGTGTTCAAGGCCAGGTTGGACACAGGGGCTTGGAGCAACCTGCTCTAGTGGAAGGTGTCCCTGCCCATGGCGTGAGTGGAAGGTGTCCCTGCCCAGGGCGGGGGGTTGGAACTGGATGAGCTTTAAGGTCCCTTCCAATCCAGTCCATTCTATGATTCTATAAGAACTTGCAGTTGGAAGGTGAACTAAAAATCTTTTTACTTGGCGAGGTGTAAGCTCACAGGACTATTTTGTTCATTTAGCCTCCAATGGCGTCACAAAAGGAGAATGGAGATTCATTCCTTACATGACATGAGGCATTGATAGAACACAGGAAAACCTGACCTAGCAAGTAAAGCAGGAAGTAAGCTGTGAAGTATTACAGATAAATTTGTACACACTAACCCTGCACATCTTCCTTTAAACAGGCTGGTGTTAGCAGTGCACCTATTTTTACTGTCATTAATGCATGTTGGTGTTAACTGGGGAAATACACAGGCCTGGCTTCACATGGAGGGAGGTGGCAGAGCGGGGTGCTAGAAACTCAGTGTGTGGAAACAGAAAGTGAGCCCAGAGCTCCAGCGATGCACAGAGCCGGCTCTGCAGGCTGCTGAGGGCTCCCTGCCCCAGCACCGGCTCCCGGTCACAGCACGGCCATGGCTACTCACAGGCTGCCAGGGCAGGTACAACCTGGGTTCTGCAGCCCTGGGAGGAGGCTTGCAGCCATGGTAACTTACCTGTCCAGTCCACACCTACAGGTATTCATGCACGAGACAGTTTTTAATTAAACATGCTTTGAGTGGCTCTTAGGAGGGTTTAGCTGTGCAGCCACAAAGCAGGAACAGGGGTCAAGCCTTAAAGATGCTTCTGTGTGGGGGCAGCAGGACCCCAGAGGCTGATAGAGATTTATGTTCATAAGAATATGAATTCTTTGCTAAATTAAACTAGCCAGAGAGCTGTTCGTAAACTCTGAACACTTTCTTGATCAAAGAAACAGCAATAACAAGCAAAACATACAAAAGTTAAACATGAAAACGTGTACACTTACATGGTGATAAAAAGATTGTCATGCACTTTTTCTCTCTAACAGCAAAGCTGGGAAATTACAGTTACTTTACAGCTTACTTAAGAATCAGACACACATAATCAGAGCACTCCTGTAAATCATGTTCAGAGCAAGTGACTTTTGGACAATAGGCTGTATTGGCGTAGTAAGAAGAACGACCAGGACTTCTGGTCATAGATAAAGGTCCTCTTGTGTCAGGGACTCTACAGCCCCACAGAGATCTGTAAAATGGCAATAAACCTGCAGACTCCCAGCTACAGACAACCAGGACATGGACATAAATAGGTTTCCCAGGCAGCCCCAAAGTACAGGTCTGCAGCACTTGCAGTCCATACGTTTGTGATACAGCAGCTCAGCGCTGCTGCTTGGGACCCAACACACCAGGAAAAGCCTGTCAGCCTGGATGTGCAGCCAGCTGCAGATAGCTCACATGGCCCTAGAGGGGCAGAAAAAACAAGAGGTTGTATTGCACCTGTGGACAGACGTAATTTTACCAACAGCAATCCATTCTCCAAGCTAACCTACACCCTAAGTACCAGTGCCACTCACTTCAATGGATGCACATGGCACTGTCTACCAGCCTGTCTGACAAAGGTGAGGCTTTTCCTCACCACAAGGATGAGATTAGAGAGGTCTCGTGACAAGTTTTAGGAAAGTAGAAAGGCCAGACACAGGTCATGGATGTTTCTCTCTTCCTCCTGAAATCTCACATTTGCCACTGTTTCCACAGAAAGCTGCACGTGGGGCATTTCTCCTGAGCAGCTGTCACATGGATGCTGAATAAGGCAAATCAGAAGAGAGAAGGAAACTGGATTTTTGTTCTCATTCCTCCTATCTCTGCCTCATGAGATAACCTGCAGGTGACCCCCTTTCAGCTCAACCCATCCAACCTCCATGGGGCTGGTGATCTTCCCCCCAGGACACTTCACGGCCACTAACCAACCGCACAATGTGAGATTCAATCAGGCCACTGTGAGGGAAGGAGAGAGCTAAGGAGGCACATCACCACACTGTCTTTCCAGATTCCAGTACAAACTGACCATAAAGAAGACTGTTCTAACTTGGATTAAAAGTTCACTTCAGCCATGAGCCTTTCTCCAAACACAGCTAATGTCAGAGCCACAGATTATAAAAAGCTTGATGCAGAAACGTGCCAAGATCAGGAAGTGTTACAGAAAGGCTCTGGGCCCAATTACAGACAAGGTACCCGTGGTTTCTCCGGCCTGTAGTACCTCCAGGGATGGAACGTTCCAACACTTGCAGGAGTCAGGGCCAGGAT